GGGGATTTGCAAGAAATGGGGCAGGGGCACGCAGTAGAGTTTGGAGAGTTTAGAGTGATGGTTTTTGCAATGACTTAGAACACTGTGTATCTAGCTCCGGATATGAGAAATTAACCTTTGGGACTGGAACGAGACTTACCATTATACCCAGTAAGTTCTTCATCATTGGTTAGGAAATCAGCCTGCATAAGATTCTGGGGGGTCGTAGTAGACATGTAGGCTTAGAGAATTTCCATCTGTCCTTGTTCATAACTGGTAGAGGCAGGTGGCAGCCAAATATCTAAGTTTTCCGGGGGAACTCCAGTCCTATTTAATTCAAAACTAGAAAATATGATTCACAATTCTGTTTTTGCTGCTACCATCAAGTGCTAATGTGACATGTGAAGAGAATTCAGGCATAATTACTGCATCTTCACTGTTATCTTGTGTGATAAGTTTAACTTTGAGTACTGCAAGTGTTTGGAAGAAATGGTAGAAACATAGAATATCAAAGAGACAAGCAAACCAGGAGACCCAGAAGGCGGGCAGACAGAATGTCGGGCAGTATAATTTTACAAAACTAATCCAGTGTTGTGTCTCTCTCTGCAAATGGCAAGGTATCTGGAGAGGTGCTAAGTGCTAGTGTTCTGGGTGGGGCAGGATTATCTAAATAGAAGACTAAACACTGATCTCAGGGGGAAAGTTTGCACTTGAAAATCTCTGGGTGGTTTTTTGTCTTATTTTTCCAATGAAGTTTAGTGTGGCAGCACATCTGCATTTAGTTAATTACAATTTGGGTGAGGCACAGAATTAACTGTTAAAAACAACTATGCCTGAAGTTAGGTAGATAGATAGAACTGAATGTATATACATAGGGTAGAAGAATGTGAGAAACATGGGCAAATAGATTTTTTGCACCTGCAATTAAACACTATGGAAAATTTGAATATGTTCACTTTGTAACCAAAGGCAACCACACAAAATGGAATGGAAAGCATACTTGCGAGAGCAAGAACTGGAGGTATGGAACCTTTCTATCCTAACCACTCAGTTACCTAGAAAAATCTTTTTTTCTTTTTTGCTGCATTAGAAATTAAAGGCATGAGTGTTGAGGATTTGGGTAGGTCAGACTTTTATAATGACAATTACATTACAAAGCATCTCTCAGCTAGGCTGGATAAAGCACTTTTAAACATCAAAGTCTTTTTCTTCTCTCTGGATAAGATAGAAAAATAGTGTCTCCTCACTCTGTATCTAGATACAGGGAGCTCAGAGCTCCAGACTTACAAAGTGAGACAGCAACAGAGCTGAGCTGTGGGACCTGGGGACCCAGTGACGGCCAGTCTGCTCCCTCGCACAGGTGCTATAGTAGCCATAACCCAGGGGACTGTCCCCACGTGAGAACGTAATACCTGCAGGGAAAATTCCACTTCCACTAAGAGCAAATCAGCATAAGAATGCCTTATCCAGCAAGGGGCAGTCAGAGGGGCTCTAAACCAAATCAGAGCCCCAAATATTTGAAAACCTGATGCGGAAGCCAGCTATAATAAGTTTGCTTTCCAAGCAGTGCTTCCAGAAGCTGTTAGTGGTTGGTAGTTGCTAAGGGTTTTGAAAGTAGAGGACATCACAGCAGAGTGGAATTATTTGGAACAGCGGGCTATGATTAGAATTAATGAGATGTAGGAAAATCCTGGCTAGATGACTAGAAAAGTCCTGAAAGAAAAGATACAGTAAACCTTGGGGGAGTTGTAGCATTTATCCTAGTCCAAGCAGCAAAGAGCAGACACAAGGCAAATTCCAATAAACAATCGGCCTTTTTACTTTTATAAGTTTCTGCAATTATTACTATGTCTTCAGCCTCTTGGCCAAATATCAACAGGTCCTAAATGCAAAGTGGAACAGTCCTCTGTTTCTAGAGCCAAGTAACTCAGCCCCACCCCACACACCATCCATGCTCAAGCACCGTTTTTGTAGAGGAGTTTGATGCTGTGTGAACTATGGAAACCAGCTGGTCTTTGGCTCCGGAACCATTCTGAGAGTCAAGCCTTGTGAGTATAAAACACTCGAGTCTCAGTCTGGGTTTCATTGCATATTAAGTAAACTTTTTCTGGCAGAGAAGTATTTGATTCTAAAGAAAGGAAAAGTAAGTTTTCAGGTGCAACACAAGCATTTCATTAGTGTGATTCATTAAGAATTTCCATGTGTTGCCTTTGAGGTGTTAATCACATCCGTTCACTGGTGAGATCCACAGTTTTAAAATTGAGTTAAATTTGAAAAAAAAGTCAGCATCTCTGTGGGCCACAGTGCTTGCTGTTTGGGTGTCTAGACTTCCAAAATGGAAATCTCAATCTGTAGTTTTGAGCTTGGAGATTTATCCTGAGCCTGTGGCTTAGAGATGTGGAAGAAAAGCCACACACTGCTGGGCTTTGTAGGTCATTTCTAGGATCAGTGTCATGAAAAAGCCTGGGTAGACAGGTTGGTGAGGAGACACTGGTGACAGGTGTCTGCCCTGTTTCTGTAAAGCTGTTGACAGCAGTGAGAAGAAAGGCAGCGGAGACAAGCTGACTTTTGGGACCGGGACTCATTTAGCAGTTAGGCCCAGTAAGTCTAAGCAGAAAGTAAGATCTTTATGTCTTTTTCTATTATTTGTTCTAGCCTGACATTTTGAGTTGTGTTCCTTTGGATTCCAGATGCACAGACCACAGTGTCTTTTCATGCTCCTCTTAATATTTGTGGCTAGGGGCTCTCTGTTGTTCCCATCTCTCCTACATGAGGGTCCTGTGGCCAGGTCCACACTCATAAAGAAGCCGCCAGTGATACAGTTGGTTGGTAGTGTGTCAAGAAACTCCAGTTGTCATCTCCAGGGCCCTTACTCTGGTTATGTGTGTTTCAAGCTTCTATGTCAGCAACAGAGGAGAGGGAGAAATGACCAGTAGCATTGACCAGGGCTATTAGCTGTACCTGGTGTCCATGGGTTTCAGAGCAGCTGTGGAGGTTCTGGGAGCTTCAGAGCATGAGTTTCTGGCAGAGGAGTTTATGTAAAGGGTTGGCCCAGAGTGCATATTCAGGAGGAGGTACTGGCAAACTCACCTTTGGCAAAGGGACTCGTCTGATCATCCAGCCCTGTAAGTGCCTTCGCCTGGGAGGTGGGGTTCAAAATGCAGTCCTCATGGGGACATTTCTAAATTTTGGCTCATGTGCTTCTGGTGCCACTACCATTGTTGGCGCTGTCCTAAGTATATGGAAGGTTTTGAGCCATGTAGATGAAGGAGGTGGTGCGGTTTGTTTCTTTAGAGGACTCCTGAGATCTGTCCTTTGGCAACTGTGTTTGAGTAGGAGTCTATCATCGGAAAGTCTGGGCACCAGCAGACAAAGGATACGAGCTTAGAATGGGTCACGAAAATATGCCGGCCACTTTGCCAGCAGCACCTTTGCAACAAAAATTGCATCCATAGGAAATGTGGAAATGGCTGTGTAGATAGAGATTTGGCCATCTCTCCTTTTCTGTCTTTGTACCCTCTTCTCTGCCTGACTTAGGGACTTTAGTACAGTTATTAATCATTTTATTTCTCGGCCCCATCACTCATCAAGTATGACAAGAGAAAGGACAAAGAATTCAATTCTCAATGTCTTCAGAGTTGAACTTGACAACTTCCCAGCCTTAACCATCTAGTCAGCACCCCGTGATAAACTGAGGTCAAAGAGGGCAACCAGCTGGTATTGTTAGTCAAGCGAGTATCTGGCCAGAGCCCTGCTGCCCTCATAGGAATTAATACTGTGGAGTTTGGGAAAGGGAGATGAGTCCCTGAGGGCTCACCAAGGCTGCCCATCTGGGAGAGGGCATGGGGAGAGTTCTGAGTGGGGAAGGGAAGACCAGATGGAGAGTCAAGCAGCAGGTTTCTGTTATGAGGCATCTCACAGTGTAAACACTGGCACTGGCGGTAAACTCACCTTTGGGACTGGAACAAGACTTCAAGTCACCCTTGGTAGGTAACAGAAACCATGAGGTAACTTAACTGTGTGTTCCTTTAAAACGGGATACTGCAGAGGGGATATCCTGGCTAGACGTCGTCCTTCCTTCCTTCCATGGGAGGTGATGTCACTGAGGATACATACCTGCATTCAGTCAGTTCTCGTGCTATTTTTGAACCTATTACAGATGCTTTCCTTTCCACCTGTGAAAATAGAACCTCTCTGCTCAAGCTGCTTCAGTCTTTATTACCATGTGTGTGTTTCCTTTAGAGCAGTGGTTTGGGAATTAATTTATCATCAGGACTTTGTCACTCTGGGCAGCAGAATGAAAGGGCTCTCAAATAGAGAACAGAGAGTCCTGAATACTTGGATAACTTTTCAGGAGTGATATGTGTAAATGGGATGAAGTAGGCTAGAATGACCTCCTAATGACTGTTTTGGAGACATACTAAGGAAACTTGCTTAACATCCTACACCCTTAACTTGTTAAAACACTGGTGAAGTAAAATCCAAACCTTGACCCTCTAAGAACATAAACAAATGCCAACCCCTCCCCCCTAAAGCATTGCCATGTTTCATTATGTGCAATTATGAAATGAATACATGATCATTTTTATGAAATTACATAGATGAGTAGTTTGAGTATTTTGAACCCGTGAGTAAGATGCAAATCATAGAAGTTCTGGAGCACCTCACCAGGCAGTTCCTCATACGAAGTGGTCCCTGAAGACAAATAGTGTACCTGGGCATGATTTATTTGCCATGTTGGTTTATGCACCATTCAGGGACCTGTTTGAAAGCTGATTATGTCTCAGTGTGCCAATTTGGGGTCTCAATTAACTGTGTTCAGTGCACTGAAAAGTGCCCATGTTTACAATCTAGAGGCATGACAAAATGGCCCCATTCCCGTAGGAAAAAGAGAATGGGACTGTGTATGGTGTGACACTGTCAGTGCCACTCTGCCTTGTCTCTGCCATGCTGAGACTGGCTCCAAGGTTTCCCCAGGAGGTTTTTGTTAGAGCATGTATTGCTGTGACAATAACAATGACCTGCGCTTTGGAGCAGGGACCAGACTGACAGTAAAACCAAGTAAGTTGGAGGAATTGGTCAATCTTAAAAGCTGACCGGAGTGAGTAATGGTGCTGTTCTGGGCAGTTTCTGTGGGATTAAGACACTGCCACTCCCAGGAGATCTAAGCACCTGGTTTCTTTGTGCCTCAGACCCTGGGCTGGTTGGAATTCTGTGAGTTGATGAACTCTGGCAATCCTAAGGATTAGGTCAAGAAGTAGAAAATTTCACTGGTTTCTTCATTGGCTCTGGATATATAAAAATGCTAAATATAAGCAAGGCATGGTGACTCACACCTGTAATATTAGCACTTTGGGAGGCTGAGACAGGAGGACCCCTTGAGGTCAGGAGTTCGAGACCAGCCTGGCCAACATGGCAAAAGTCTGTCTCTACTAGAAATACAAAAATTAGCCGGACATAGGGCACATCCTGTAATCCCAGATTCTTGGGAGGTTGAGGCAGGAGAATCACTTGAACCCAGGAGTTGGAGGCTGCAGTGAGCCGAGATGGTGCCACTGCACTCCAGCCTGGGCAACAGAGTGTGACTCCATCTCAAAAAAAATGCTAAATGTAATATGTAAAACCCATATTTTGTGATAAGACAAAATTAAAAGACCTAACAACTCAAAAATCAGATTTTTCCTTAAAAAGAACCCCTCCACACCAAGAGAAGTACAACCAGCTCTTTTGTTGGTTTTGTTTTTTTAATTATTCTTTGGAAGAACTATGGCTGAGAAAGTGGCATGATGCTCCTGGTCCCTAAAATAGCCACTGGGACCCCGATGTTGACCTCCTGTGCTGGGTGGGATGGCTCTGCCCAACCTTGCTATTGTCCTCATGTGCCTCTGGCATGAGCATTCTGTCAGAACCCAGTGTTCTAAGAACAAAACAGGGGATTTAAGATCAAGTTCAGATCTATTTACACAGCCAGCTATTAATTTTAGAGAACTGTCCTGACCTGCAAAGGAACTGGGAATGGAGGCTGCAAGGTGGGGAGACTTCCACTAGAGGGGAAGGTGATCTCACTTGCTCAGTCTCCCTCTCCATCCTTCCCGTCTGTTGATTATTGTAAAGCCCCATAGGACTGTGTAAATTATGGAGGAAGCCAACAAAAACTCATCTTTGGAAAAGGCACTACACTCTCTGTTAAACCAAGTAAGTGTTGGGGATTTAAAGACTATATCAGTAAGTGCAACTAAAGTACAATGCAGAGTGAGTGAGAAGAGACTTACCAACTCCTTTCTCACCGATGTCTTCCCCCACCCCTTCGCCCTTGAATCCCACAGAATTGCTCCTGTCCATGCCCCTGGCTGTTCCCAGTCGAGACCAGCATGTCCTTCTGCTGGACATAGGAAAACTCCAGACGTCATAGTATGTCACAGGGCCCCCTCCCTCAGATAGCAGATCTCAATTTTGATCACTCACATCACCGTGGGGAGTGGCAACCTTGTCAGAAATGGCCTAATGGAAGAGGGAAGCTTTATTTACACCATCAAAGGCCCATGGATGACCCACAATCTGTGTGACTGCTGTGTGATTGGTTTTCAGACATTAGCTTTAATAGGTATCATAGGAGAAGGGACAGGGTGGCTACTGCATGGGGTTTTTTGTTTAGGGAGAACACACTGTGGAACTCAAACTCCGGCTATGCACTCAACTTTGGCAAAGGCACCTCGCTGTTGGTCACACCCCGTGAGTTCTTGTGGTTTTCTAATTGTCCTTTCTGGAAAGAAATCCAATGGGACCTGTTGAAACACAGCTGAATTTAATTGCTTTGCTTAGCATGCAGTTGTTAACTATGTCTGATGTGTGAGCAAGATATGAATACATGTTTCCCTGGAGGCTGAATTTGGTTATCAGGTCTCAGGGCAGTTTGATAAACTGTACTAATACTGCAATCAGTGTTTTTCAAAGGTCCACAAAGCAAATTGTGGCTTTGAGAAAGCAGAGATAAGAAGCAAAGCTTTGTGATAGAGACAGAAACAAACCAATGAAAAGGGACGCTACCAAAGCAGTGGCATAGCCAAGGAAATGTGTCCTCAACAGATAAGTGGCGAGGACCCAGTTGAGCTGATGCTTGTGTCGTTTGATAGAATTGAGAAATAAGGTGAGTGGGTTGGGCACAGTGGCTTATGCCTGTAATTCCAGCACTTTGGGAGGCCAAGTCAGGTGGATCACTTGAGATCAGGAGTTCAAGACCAGCCTGGCCAATATGGTGAAACCCCATGTCTATTAAAAATACAAAAATTGCCAGGCATGGTGGTGGGCACCGGTAATCCCAGCTACGTGGGAAGCTAAGGCAGGAAAATCACTTGAACCCAGGAGGCGGAGGTTGCAGTGAACTGAGATCGTGCCACTGCATTTCAGCCTGGGCGATAGAGCAAGACTCTGTCTCAAAAAAAAAAAAGGAAAGAAAAACAGGAAAATAAGGCAAGGGGACTGAGGATTCAAGTGAAGGGAGGGCAGCAGGAGTTACAAGCTTAGCATGGCTTTCTTCCTCTGAGAGACTAGTAGAATAATGTAACTTTCTGTAGAGAGAGAACAGCCCTTAATGTGTCACATCAGTGGGCTTGCTTCTCTTTGGATAGTCCCCTTCCTCACTGTAGGGACAAAGCAGGTCCACACATGGACTTCGCCCCCTTATCTAGGCTGGCCAAGTCAACCCTATGGGAGGGGCAGAGAATCCTAGTACTGTGGAGGGCCTCCCCATGTCCACTAGATTATCTGTAATAAAGCAGAATGTTTATACGAGTTGCAAAACTGTCGGAGAGGGTAATCGAGATGGATTCTAAAAAGCAATATTGAAAATGTACAGGCTGTCTCCACACTTGCAGAGTTCAGTGTGTTTTTTTGATGTTGGGTTTTTTTTCCTGTTAGAATTACAGAAACGGGTGCTTTCCTGCAGGCACACTATTTGCAAAAATGTCTGCCATCTCACATTTTGGTAGTATTTCATCAATAATCCTCTGCACACAAACCAGCTGTGACAATAAGGTAATGGGGCTGATTTGTTAACAAATCGAGTTTATACATTTCAATGAGTGGCCCAGTCAAAGCACTCAGCTTGAAGCCTCTAACACTGCCCATCGCTCGCTCCCTCATTGAAATCACCCTCAAAGGGCAAAACATTTTCTTTCTGTACAAAAAAGAAAATTTTTTTTCACAATGTTTTTACAAAACATTTTCATAATGGCTTTATATTTTAAAGGTGGATTTCACTTTTATTGATAATCAAAATCCTTTCAGAACCGAGACTAATATAGAGGAGGGAATCGACTAGTTGCTGATACTGTTTTGGATCCAAAATAGATGTAATTATAAAATAATGTCATGGGTTGGTTTGTGTGGCTCATAAACTGGCTCTCAGGGGGAATCCTAGACAGAATATTTCAGAGGGTTCAACAGCCATTTAGATGTTTAATTCCTTTTATGTTCACTAAATCAGCCTCTTTAATAAGCACACAAAAAGATAGCATGAGATTGAAGAAGTTTTGCAAACTTGGACCCAATAGAAACAGTGAAGACTTTCTGTATGAATTGAAATATAATCCCAAATAAATTCATTTTAGAAAGATATCAGGTCAAGGCCTTTCAATGGGGAAAGTGCCTATGATGCCCTATTTATTCATGGAGAGTAAAGCTGCTTCCATTAAAAGAAGCTGCTTCCTTATGTTGGTTTATGTAGAGACACATAACACTGTGACTACCACAGGAACCGACAAATACATCTTTGGAGCAGGCACAAGGCTGAAGGTTTTAGCAAGTGAGTATTACAGACAAGACAGGCTTTATTTTAAAGGTTGCTGACGTTCGTGTTTGAGGGACAAGGAGAGATAGGACAAGGGGAGTATCCGTGTAAACTGTGCAAGCTAAAATCACTGCTATCTGAGGTGGCAATTCTGGGTCCCTTTACTCTGGACAGCAGGGGTGAGGGAGAGTTCTGAAGATCACCATGATGGACTCACTGCTGATTTCATAAGAATTGTATCCAACATTAGAAAAATGTTCATGACTTGAAGACCTTGAGAAACTCCTGTAAACACAACAGGAGTTCTGTGTTCTTTATTCTCTTCTTTTAAAACTATGTTCTCACTTTACATTTTCACTCACTTTTCTACCTCTTTTTGTGTCTCTCTTCTCTGTGCAGCTCAGTGCATCATCTGGGCATTCATATTTTGAGAAATCATCTCAAGGGGAAATCATGTCCAGATCCCAGCATGTCACTCAAAGCTCTCTAAAATCTGGGCCCTTTCTGTTCTCTAAATTTATTTCTAGCAATTCCCTTTCATGAATGTTCTGCTCCAGGAAAACTAGGCATCTGCCTCCCTTGAATATTTATACATGCCCACACCTATACCTCGTGTTCATACATCAGATATCCTGGATCTACCACCTAAAATAGGCTTGCACAGGTGACAAAATTTGGTCTCACCATCGCTTAGCCTTGAGATCCAGCACAGGCATCACCAGACTTAGTTTCATAGGAAGAGTGTGAAAAATTATATCATTTTTTAATTAAGCAGGCCAAGGTAAGAGATCCATCAAAGAAGCAAAGTAAGGAGAGAGATGGTGTCTGTAATGGGTTTGGAAAGGAGAGATCTGTCCCTGAAATAACACTTATATAATCCAAGTAGGAGATTTATAGGGCGTGTGTTTCTTGATTTTCCTTCAGAGTGGTCCGTAACGTCAGTTGTTAAGCCCCTGGTCCTCAATGTGGCCAGGGGTGAGGAAGTGGGAGGAGACCATTGCTGCCACTCAGTGGTGATGCCAATGGAATTTTGGGCTCAGACTTTCAGTCAGGTACCTCAAAATTGAGAGAAGCTTGAAAGGACCATGCAGGAAAAACAGGAGAAGCCACCTTCTTAATTGTAAGAGAATTATTTCTGATCAGTCCTTAAACTGTGTTATGTCCTGGGGAAGGGACAGTAAGAGTGGAAAAGTCTCCTAGGACAAGGATAGGAAGTGGTGAAAAGTCTTTTTCCTGGT